CGAGCAAGCCTACCATAAGATATACCTAGTGTATGCAAGACAAAAGATTAAACATGCAAATACAAACTTAGGCATGCAAAGGAACTAGATGCTCATTGAAATTGCAAGAAATTAAATCTAGTTACCTAATATGGGAAGGGGAATTTGGGTCCATAGTATTCACTAACCCACTTGGCAATTTCCTTATCCATAATGATGCACCCCATGAAATACACCCATACTTTGTCAAGTCTCCAAATTCCCCGATGTCCATCAGACTTCTCACTTCCCTTTCGGAATCCAAACTTTCTTGGTGCTCTTCATGTTGAAAATAATCTCCATTGACACCCAAATGCGTTTGGTCCCATTGTTGGCTTGCTTGTTCACCTTAATGGCCACCACCTTGTCATTCTTCTTCTTCTTCAAGAGATAAGGTGTGGAGGCTTTCTTGTCCACCTTGTTGATGTATGTGTTGGAGAGCTTGCTTGTTTCCTTTTTGTTTTTCTCTTGCTTCTTAGCTTCTCCCCCATTCTTCACCTTGCACTCATAGGACGTGTGGACTTCCTTGTGGCATACGTAGCAAACCACGGTTTGTCCTTCATCAAGTTTCTTCACTCCCTTGACGGTAATATCATGATGAAGTTGGGCTTGCTCCGTCTTACCTTTCACTTGAGTCAAGTCCTTGGTGAGATGTGACACTTCTTGCTTGAGTTGCTCATTCTCCAATACGACCTCTTGTGTGCATGTTTCTACAACAACTTTCTCAACATAAATTTAGTTGCACAAGGGTGAGTCTAAACATAAATTATTATAATAAGTAGAGGCATCCTTTTTAGGCATGTCAAAAATCGAACCTTTCTTTTTAGGTGCCTCGGTGGGGGTTGTACCAACGGCTTCAAGATTATCAACTTTATTAGTTAGCTCATCACAATGTTTGCACATGGTTTCCATTTTAGCGAGCAAACTTTTATAATCATCTTGTGAGCTAGCTAACTTTTCCTTTAATTTTTCATTTTTCTTTACAAGTTGCTCATCATTGATTGTGCAATTATTTGTGTTTGCACTAGTCTTAAGTTGCTTAATTTTAATAGATAGCTCCATATTAAGATTGGTAAAAGTTTCATATTGTTCAAGCAAAGTAGCATAAGCTTGTTGTGAGTTATCTTGTTTTTCTTTTAATTTTTCAAGCTTCTTTTGTTGACTAGTGTAAACTTTAGCAAAGTTAAGATTTTGTTACACAATTTCATCATAAGAAGGTGGCTCATCATCACTATCACTATCATTGTCACTATCACTAGGGATAGGTTTTTTGTTACCTCGTGCCATAAGGCACGAACGTGAGGTGCTTGATGATGAGTGCTTGTGCCCATGCCTCTTGTGGTGGTCTTCTTCTTCACTTGAAGAATCATCCCATGACTTTATTGATGTGAGGGCTTTGTCCTTGTACGCCTTCTTTTTTGTCTTGGGTGTGGTCTTGTTTGGACAAACTTCCACAAAGTGCCCCAACTTGCCGCATCCATAGCATCATTTCTTTCTTTGCTCATTTCTTTGATTGGTGAAGATGAAATCTTGAATTTGGATGGGCACACCCTTGACATTGAGTTTTTAGATTATCTTCGCCACCTTGTTGATAAGCTTGATAGATTCTTCATCAAGGTTGGAGGTGGAGGAGGAAGATTGATCATCATCACTTCATTCTTCGTCATCCTCATCCTCATCTTCTTCTTCATCTTCACTTGAGGAGCTTAAGTTTGAGCTTGTCTCAACTTGCTTGCCCTTCATCTTCTTTTTCTCACTACATGTGAGAGCTTTGCCTTTGTCTGATGAAGAGTCTTCTTCTTGACCCATCTTACGTGACATTTCAAATGCAACTATCTTGCCAATGACTATGGCTGGGGTCATGGTGCTCAAGTCCTCCATGTTGTGAAGGATGGTGATGATGCTTGCATATTTCTTTTGTGGTAGCACAGAGATGATCTTCCTCATGATGTCCGCATCAACAAGCTTTGTTAATCCTATTGAATGGAGCTCATTGATAACTAGATTCAAACGAGAATACATATCACGAACAAGCTCATCATAATTCATTTTAAAGGAATCATAATTTTATTTAGCTAGACAATGTTTTTGCTCACGGACATTAGTTGTGCCATCATGGAGCTCTTGGAGTTTTAACCAAATTTCATGTGCCGTATTTAAATTGAACACTTGGTTAAACACATCCGTGCTAAAAGATTCAAACAAGCAATTTTTAGCTCTAGCATTGAAATGAATTTCTTTTTCTTCACTTTTTATGGGTTTATCGGGATTCTTAATGGGTTTCATCCTGTCATGAGTGACTCTCCAAACACCCAAATCTACCGCCTCAAGATGACAAGCCATTCTAGCTTTATAGTAGGGGAAGTTAGTGTTGTCAAAGTATGGAGGCCTAGAGGTATCCATCCCAACCATTATAAATAGCGTCGGCTCAACGGCGGTGAAGCCAAATGTCCAAATTGAGCCAACCGGCTTCGATACCAATTGTAAGGGACTGTGACGCCTAAGGGGGGGGGTGAATTAGGCAACTTAAAAGCTCTAACTCTAAACTATAGCCTATTTTTCTATTCTTAGCAAAACCTATGCAAAAAGATAAACTATCTAAATGTGTAACTACGGTTTTTCTAGTGTGTTGCTATCACTTCCGCAAAAGGAGTTATGCAAACAATGTGAATGCGGAAGCTAAAGAGTAAGGTAGAGATATGCAAACTCCCATCGACGACTCTAGTATTTTTACCGAGGTATCAAGAAGCGCGCAAGCTTCCCCCTAGTCCTCGTTGGAGCCCCTCACAAGGAATCCCTTGCAAGGGCCAAGCTCCCGGTCGGGTAACTCCGTGGATAGACCGGGCCTTCCCCACGCGTAAGTGGGTCTCCGGTGTGCCTTCCGAGAAGCCTCTCCCGAACTGCTCCCCGCCGTCTTCACTATCAAGCTTCCGGCCAAAATGCCGCAGGCCTTGTTCCCTCCGGTACACGGTGGCGGCCACACCACAAACATAGTTGGTTTGATCTCGTAGGACTACAAGCCCCTCCGATGTACAACAATGATGCGCGCAAGCACCGAGTGGTAAGAGGTATGCAAACCTCACTAAACACTACGCCTAAACCTAGAGCAAGCGCATAAGTGGTGGTCTAATCAACCTAAGCACTTCGCAAAGCACCTACGCTAATCACCTAATGAATCACTAAGCACTATGCAAGTGGAGATCACTAAAATGGTGTATCAACACCCTTGGTATGTTTCCTCAGCTCCACTTATCAAATGGCCGGTTGGGGGGTCTATTTATAAGCCCCATGAAGAAAGTAGCCGTTGGGGGCGAAACCCAGCTTTCTGCTACTGACCGGAAGCTGTTATCGTCCTGACCAGACGCGTCCAGTCGTCCCGACCGTTGGAGCGCGCGCGTTGATCGGACGCACTGCCGAGTCCGGTCACTGTTGATCGGACACGTCCGGTCGCGCTATCGACGCTCGGGAACCTCTCTGGACTCGATCAGACGCTGCAGTTCCTACGTCTGGTCGATTATCCACCAGCGTCCGGTCAGTGCTGAATGTGTTGCCGAGATGATGAATAGTGCCATCGTCGCGTCCAGTCACTTTTAGTCCTTAGCGTCCGATCGCTGCTGCTGACGTCTGCTGTTGCCGAGCATCTTGATCGGCCACGTCCGGTCGCTATAAGGGCCGCGTCCGGTCACCTCTGTGAAGCTCGTTTCTTCGCGATCTTGCGTCCGGCTTGGTTCATATCTTCGTGCTTGGACTTTGCTTGATATATTGGATCCTCTCTTGTGCTTCTAGGGTCTTGCTTAAGGTGTTGATCATCGGATCATCATGTCGCCTTCGTTCAAGCCACGTCTTACACCCTATTGAACTACAAAACAATCACTTGCAAATTCATTAGTCCAATTTGGTTATGTTGATCATCAAACACCAAAATCCAAAGTAAATGGACCTATGGTTCATTTTCCTTAAAGGGTAATTAGTTCAAATAATCGAGAAACCACATAAAGGAAAAAAAACAAATTACTAATTATTGGCATATGTGGAATAAGCATCTTGGTTGCAAAAACAAGATGGTTGGACTAATGGATGTTGGGATAACCACAAAACGACACTACCACACAACAAGTTAGTGGTAGCAGAAGCGACTTCAACGCAATATTAAGTAAGCCCAAAATCTGAACCTATTCACAAAGAGAAACACATGCATCAGGCATATATGGAGTTATAAAGGTAGCAACAGGACATCAACTAAAGACACAAAGATTTGAACCCCCAAAAAAAAAAAAACATAGGAGACCAAGGTAACCGGATCATCTTCTGCTATTCTACTATTTACTTATGGGATTACAACAAATTTATCTCTAGATATCATCAGAGGCATCCATACATTAAGATATGCAAATCTTGAGCAACAATAGTAAGGTTTTCGGCTACAACCTTATGACATAGAAGAACATCATCAGATGATGGTAGAACTCAGATCGGAGACATCGAAGATGTTGATCTACACCTTCACAACCTTAGTATAATTTGTGGCATGCAGACATTCTTCAGTCCACAACAGTTGGTGGTTCTTGCAGCTCTTGATCACAAAGAGGCATAGCATATATGGCAGGCACCAAAAACTATACACAAGTGATGCAAAGTGTGCCACATTACTACACTGGCTATCTTCTCTGGCCCAGAGTACAAGTACAGTCCAGTCCCCCAATGCAACAAAATACAAACTGTATGTGTATGCAATTGGATAACAGCTTGACAACATTTTTCAATAACAAACCGTTGCACAATCGGTAGCAATACGTACGTACTTTTTTACACACTAGTTTTCAAACACAAAAACAAAAAAAAAATCTGCAAAAAGGAAGCAAAGAGAAATCAAAAGTACAAAAACATATGTATAATACTAGCTCATGCATCATATATAATAATAATATATTCAGCATGAGCAACAGCACGTACAGTACATATTACACGTAGATAGCAGACTGCTAGAGCTTGAGATTGAGGTCAACATGCCTCTGCTTCTCCTCCTCCACGTACCACCACGCCGTCGTCGTCTCCAATGGCGCCGCGGCGCCGCCGTCCGGCTGCGCCCACTGCTGGTGGCTGCTAGGGTACTCGTGGGGCCGGCACGAGTGTGAGACAGCCTGGATCATGGGCAGGGCCGGCGGCGGCGTGTGGCTGCTGCTGATGGGCGTAGCAGCCGTGGCGGGATGAGCGTCGGCGGTGGTCGTCGTCGTCTCCGCGGCCGCCGGGAGGTAGAGGTGGGCGTTCCACCCGATGCTCCTCTCCTTCTTGTGCGCATTCTGGTGGCCCCCGAGCGCCTGCGACTTGAGGAACTTCTTGTTGCAGAAGAGGCACGGGAACAGCCTCACGCCGCCGCCGGCCCTGCTGGCACCGCCGGTGGCTGCGCCGTCGGAGCTAGAACTACTAGCCGCGGCGGGTGTTGCGTGGTCGAGGGAGGACGAGGAGTGTGGCGGCGAGGCCTGGCCCAGCGTCAGGGACAGGTCCACGACGACGTAGCTGCCCTCGTCCTCGGTGACGACAGACGGAGGTGGCGGTGGCCCCATTGGGATCGATCGGTCGGTCGGGGATCGTCGAGCTAAGCTACCACGGAGATCGAGCTTCGTTCGTCTTTTATCTAACATTAAGGCTGTCTCTCTTTCTTCTAGCTAGCTGAGCTGAGCTTCCATGGGCCAGTGATCTGAGTACAGAGCTGAGCTCGATCTCTAGGTAGCTAGCTAGCTGGGGGCTGTGATTGGTGAAGGAGAAGGAGAAGGTACTCCTACTATATAACACTAGCAGGTGGGAGTACTAGCAGCTAGCTAGGAGGAGACGATGGCCATGGCAGCAAGCAAAGGATGCCAGGAGGTTGAATGGTGATGGAGATGGAGGGATATTATTGTCACACGGGCAGAAGCTACTAGCAGAAATCAGAAATGGCAAACCCACCATGTCGTAATTCTGACGCTGCATTATTGGAGGGGCGAACTGCGTGCAGCAGCGGTGGGGCCCGCGCGCGGCAACAGCCATGAGGGCATGACCCCATGACCATGAGGAAGAGAACAGGGAAGGGAAGACGACAGGCAAGTTTATTTTGGTGCCCAAACACCAAAAGGAGGGTGAAGATGATTATAATATTGCCACAGAGATCACAGTTGGTGGTGGTAATCAACATCACACTCATGATATGTACCTGCAGCTCCTCCACATGTCATGTTCGACGTTCCACGTCATTTCTTTTATTTTATATATATATAAAATATAGGAAGAGAGGTAACTAATAACTAAATGTTAGTCTTATATGGAGTTTCATCTCACTGTTTCCAATTCTAGAACGATCTATCATCTATCTAGTATGATCCATCATCTATCTATCGATATCCATGCATGTCAAAAGTAGTAATGACTTGAGGTTATTTGTGTGCAGGTGATGACCGTACACTCGATAATTGCACTTATATTGTCCTCGCTTTGTCTCAAACCTTGAGCCTGACCCTGACTAGCTAAGGATTATATATGTGTGTAAATAAAACAATGTAGTCTGTCTTGTAGTGCATGGCGTGACAAGTGATCGGTCGGCAAGGCTCGACGCTCATCTCCAAACGGCGACAACGGTGCTCCTACTAGTGGCTTGTTGGGAGTTGCGAAACGAAAGAGATGTGTGGTTTTTCGGCGTCTGCCATCAATGATCAACGGAAACGTTCGTTGTGGAAAAAGATTAGGAGGAAGGTCAAGCTCAGTGCATAGCAGGGCTAAGAGGGTGGCGTGTGGTTTATTTAATTTTTTGCTCTGTTTTCCTTTGTCTTAATTTGTAGCCTCCTATATATATATATGTGGGTGGGTCTTTTGTTTTGGAAGTATTTGCTATTTCCTTCTCTATTAATATATAAACCAAACAAAACTCCTCTAGTTGATCAATTTAAAAAACAAACAGGAAAGACAAAATACAATGAACATATATGCATCCAATTAGAGTAGGGTTGTCAAAAATAGCGGAAAAGTTTGTTAGCAAGACACCAAAGCTAAACTTGAAGTTTGCATGACTCGATTTTGCAACAAGGAGGCCTAGTGGGCTAAGCTCGAGAGCAATTTGGTTATTGTGTGATAGTGATCGATCGATATAGAGTTGCTTGCTCACTCCAACTGGTAGTGCATGCTCTCATTGTCGGTTCTCTCCTTCCTGAAAATAGCACACATCATTGTAGAGCAAGGCTCCTGAGCCGCCCATTCCGAACGGCGACAACAGTGCTATGAGTCTCCGACTAGTGGCTTGTTGGGAGTTGCGAAACGAAAGAAATGTGTGGTTGTTTGGCATCCATCCTCAATCGTCAAAGGAAATGTTCGTTGTGGAGAAAGATCAAGGAGGAAGGTCAAGCTCAGTGCATAGCAGGTGCTAAGAGGGCTAGAGGAGTTGTGCCATTGTTTGTCCGAGCTGAGGGGCGTGTGGTTTTATTTTTTGCTCTACTTTCCTTGGTCTTAATTTGTAGCCTCCTATGTGGGTCATGGGTCTTTTGTTTTGGAGTATTTGTTATTTATTTCCTTCTCCATTTGTTATCAATTTTTAGAAAAAACAAAAAAGGAAAGACAAAATATAATGAACATGTACGCATCCAATTAGAACAGGGTTGTGAAAGATATGGGGAAAGTTTGTTAACAAGACACCCAAGCTAAACTTGAAGCTTGCATGAGTCGGTTTTGCAACAAGGAGGCCTAGTGGGCTGAGCTCGAGAGCAATTTGGTTATTGTGTGATAGTGATCGATCGATACAGAGCTGGTTGCTCACTCCAACCGGTAGTGCATGCTCTCGTTGTCGGCTCTCTCCTTTCTTTTTTTGATATAGGTTCTCTCCTTTCTGAGAACCGTACACATCATCGTAGAGCGCTAGCATGGAAATATCACAAAGAGTTGGAAGTTGGGAACTAATTAATGTAGTTCCCAGTGAAGTAAAAAATGAGATAATTCTTGGTGTGGATCCTAGTGAAGTAAAAAATGAACTACTACCCTGTAGCTGTCTATAAAATAACTTATTCTATAGCCACTTGAAATTACGATAATTACTATGTTAATTTACGAGATTATAGTAACTTTTTACTAAGTGGTTTAATATAACGTTACGGTAAATATCCCCATGTGTTATAGTAACCCAACTATCGTAAATATGTATTGACATTATCGTAAATTAGTATATAAAATTATCGTAAATGGAGGTGGCTACAGAATAACTTATTTTATAGCTGGCTACTGAATATAATCTGCCCATATATATGGCTATTAGCCATGACATATGCATATATACAGTATATAGTAGGTAGTGGTAATAAAACTAATTACTCGTATCTGTCAACAGAGCAAGCTAAGGTTATTACTAGCCATGCGCATGACATGACATGTACGGAAAGAGAGCATGGTGGCGTCACGTCGCAAGTCCAAATGTGTTCATGTGATCACTCCATGCCCGTCCAAGCAGGGCCTGTGCGTGTGCAGTTGTGATTGGCCAGCCGCAGGGCCGGGCAGTAAGGATGGCAACGGATCGGGTTTGGGGCGGATATCCGTGGGTTTCGGGTTCTGCGGGTTCGGATTTGGGGATGGTTTTTCACCCACGGTTTTCGGGTTCGGGGCCCCGAAACCAATCGGGTTTGGTTTCGGGTTTGGTTTTCCACCCGTGGATATCCAATGGATATCCGAAATAAATCATTTGGAATTAAAACTCATGTTTTATAATATACTAATAATAATTTGTTTACTTAGATTATTAAATTTATTTAAAATTGACTCATGAAAATATTTATTATTTGTTGCCTCTTGTTTATACATGTGAATATGTGTATATATATCCGCGGGTTTTGGGTATCCGTTTGGGTTTCGAGTATCCGCGGGTTTGGTTTTGGTGATGGATTTCCACCCGAATCGGTTTTCGGGGCGGATTCGGGTTTCGATTTCGGGTTTCGGTTTTGGGTGCACAGAGACTCCACCCGATCCAAACCCGATCCGTTGCCATCCTTACAGGGCAGCTAGCAGGGAGCACGTGCGAGCGCGCCATGGTGTCGGCACATAATAGGGAAAAAACCCTTCACAGCGACGAACGGCCCCCTTCTTGGGGTAGAGAAACCAACAAACCTCTGAAAACTACTGCTCCTCTTTGCCTTCTTTATTTCATCGATCAAAGAGGCCGGCCGGGTCCCATGCCATGTTCTTCTTGTTCGTTCTCACGTCACCTTTGTTTGATCAGGTATATTCAGAGGTACGTACGCATGCAGAGAGAGGACGATAGAGATATGTACCAGATGTAGTAGTACTCTTCAACTTGATGGTGATTAGCTAGACAAGCGGTCACATGTCTGAGAGCACCTATTTTGGCGGATTAATAAGTTTATATATATGGAGCATCTCTATCACGTGTCTGAGAGTACCACATGGTACCCTAGCTAATTTTTTTCTTTTTTATTCTTTTTGTAGATAATAATATATATGGTACGTACCCTAATTGTAGTATTTCTGAAACAAGAATGACCACACGTAGTTCGAGACTTCGAGCGGCATGCAAGCAATAGATGGATAAGGCAACGAGAGGCAGAGGATGGATGGATAAATTAGGGTACGCGATACACTCTTTCGACATGCATATGGTGTGTGCTGTGTACTACAAGGTTATCATGCCCGGCCGTCGTCCTTTCTTTCTTTTTTCCCTGGACCTGAAAGGCATCTGTCCACGTTTCGACCTTCTGAGCTAAGAGAGAGAAAACGTTGTCCCGCCAATGTACAGTACAAGGTTACCAGGGCTAGGTGTTTGGTTGTTTTAGCTGCGGCGAAGCTTTTTTTTTTCTTTAAAAAGGTACTATACAATCCGGCAAACCACGCTTCGACTTTGTTTGCCTATACTCATATTCACCTTAATTCATATATATTGCAATGCATTGGATATAAGTGCAGCCAAACAAACCCTTCGTAATTTTAGAGGACATTATGAGACTTGGACAACAAATTCTCCGAAAAAATGCAGCTATTCACAGGTTCAATCCTGCAAAAATCAGAGATGTTTGGAGGAACAGAAACATGCCTAACTAAACAAGCATTGGATCCATAGAAAATGCATTAGATCAGGTTAATCGGTAGCATTAATCATCTAGTGAAAATTCAAAGCAAGATCGAACCTGAGTAAATAAAATAGAAAAAAATGCTATGTTCTACATAACAAATACTAAGGGTGTGTTTGGTTGAATTGTGGCTTCTGAAAAAAAGCTGTTGTGAGTTATGGGCTGTGAGAAAGCTAAGAGTTGTTTGGTTGAACAGCTGTGGCTTCTTGGAAAACTACTGTCACATGGGTGCATATGTCATCTGACCCCACATGTCAACCAACCACACCCAATCCATATCTCTATTTTTGGCCCACAAAGCAGAGGAGGCCATGGAGACACACTTGTCGCCTGAGCCGGTGCTGGTGCCACGACTGCCGCCCGGGGCAGGGGCTGCGTTCATCGGAGCCGGGGCAGGGGCCATGCCCGCCAGGGAGGGCTTCGGCTGGCGTGACTAGGCCATCGACGTGCTAGTGCTCGTGAATCCGTGGAGGACCGGCGACGGAGAGGAAGCCATAGTCGCGCTTATGACCCTACCATGGCCAGGGAGGAGAGTACGGGGCCAACCCATTGCTCCTACAACAATTGGCGAGGCCTTCCTGGCCATCGACCTCCAACCCTAGGCGGCTCGGGCCAGGGAGCTCACGGAGATGCAACAGGAGAAAGGTGACCACGGCTGGAGCTCAAGCAGCCGGGGACGAGAGGGCAGGGTGGGGGGAAGTAGCGTGCGCCGGCCGACGGCCACAAGTATAGGAACGCGCCAGCGTCGATAGTACTGGAGCGGGTGGAGGAGAGAAGTCACTGTCAATTCAGGCATAGAACGAACCAATATTCTTCATAATCCGTGTCGGGTAGGTAAATTTCACGAAATCCTCACACCCACAGCCCGTGAAAGTAACTCGGAACCCGCGGTGAGAAATACACTGCATGAAAGCTGCTTTGGGCGGAAGCCAACGGATTAGTTTGGGCCCTTTGATTAGCTTTAGGCTTTTTTGAAGCTAAAGCATGTTAAAAAAACCCAACCAAAGGGACCCTAAACCTTCCCTGGAGAGCCATGTAAGGCAGCAATGGAATCCAAACTTGGGTGAAAATGTGGCCTCGATGGGGACGGGCCTAACCGTAAAAAGACTCACAAGGCTATACATCAATTAGTCAATATAGGTGCAGGAGGTATTTGAAAACACATAAACCCAGTGGCGGATCTGCCACCGGGGCTGGGGGGCTCAAGCCCCCCCTACCGTGGCCGTGCCTGTGGAGCCCCCCCTCGGCCCCCAAGAATTTTTGGACAGTGGACTAGCAATGGAGGAAGGAAAGGAAGGGGTGGAGACATGAAACACCCGAGAGGTCAACGGAGGTTGAAGACGACGCATCGGATGTTTCTCCATCTCTTTGTTTCCCCCATCCAAATAGGCCCAGTAAGGCAGTAACGTCAATAGGCCAAGTGGGCCATGGGCCTTTCTCCTTTCCCCGTTTGCCGTTTTCAATTGTATTTTTTTTACTTCTTGTGAAATATGACGCACTTTCAATTGTTTATCAAAGATATCGTGTTATAAAATGCTTAAAACTGCTATATGTTAGTTATGTATGGGACATAATTGAGTTATAAGTTGGTCTTGCTCTCTTCAGTCTAGCCCCCCCCCCCTCCTATATATTTTTTCTGGATCCGCCACTGCATAAACCTTATAATAATGTTAGAGCCTCTTTGACATGGCTTCTAGTCCTAGGGGCTCCGGTTTTGAGAAGCTAGAGCCGATATGGCTACCAAAAGGAGTTGAAGCGAGATGAAGTTGTGCCAAACAAACCTTTAGACTGAGAAATTAAAGTGCAGATGACTCTTTGGTTGGAATCCCTCTGGTTTGCAGGTGTGTTTTTGCAATTATTTTCTATTTCCTTGATTAGAATCAATGTTGGGCTGAAAGTAAGGAAAATAAATAAAAAGCTTAGTCTCAAGTACTAGTAGCAAATTTGGTTCGTTCCCCAAGGATTGTCCTCTTGTTGACGAGTCACTGCTGATTGGTGGCACAGCTGCCCAACCACGAACTCGACAGTACACTGTGTTTGTTATGAAAACTGACTTATGATGCCTATGAACTACCCCAGCGTCCAGCCAAGAGAAGCAGAGTGATGTGATCCTGCCTGTCCTGTGAACTGACGCTGTGATCCAGACAGGCGGCACCAGAAAAGCAGAGACGATGCAGACGCATAGCTTTCCTTCAAAAGAGGGCCAGGGGGAAAGCATTTCCATGTTGAACATCCGAATCCCGAAGGGCCCTCCCGTTCTCAGCTCATTTCAGGTGCCAGCAAACTTTCGGTAGATCCTTTTGCCTGTGTAAATACTAACCAGTTAAAAAAAATTCAGCCAGCTGAACAATTATGAGCGAATTTGGGGGTTCTTGGGGAAGAAACGGAAAAATTCCAGGGTCCATCACTGGAGATTCCATTGACAAAAAAACATGTGAGAATGCAGTGTTGCTGTTACAGCTACAGCTGCAACACCAGACTACAATCGACCACTTGTCCAGTTTCATCCAGTTCTTTCCTTTCGTCGGATTATTATATTAACACGATGACGCTGCCATGGCAGCAGTCCTTGCTCCCAACAGCTTGGGCAGAGATGGACGCTAACAAGACCCCAAATTGACAACGATGGTTGCCAAGTTGACACGAGATGAAAATTCATCAATACTTTATTGAGCAAGCGGTTGAGAGCTCCCCAGCCGGAGAACCACCATCTACTCCAGCTGATCCAGCTGAAGATCCTGCCTGAGCAAGTGAGCAGAAGGCCAGAGGCCCAGGCCGCGCCAAGCCACGCTCCAGGACATGGACGCCCAACAGTGCTTGCTACAGCCACAATATGAGGCTCAGAGATTCAGTTGTGCACCACGTTTACAGACAGTTCACTGACTGAGTGACTGGCTCCAGGGACCACCGGCCGCTGCCGGAGACGACGGTCCTCATCGCCATAGCGTGGCGACAACAATGGCCTGGCCAAGCTGAAGACAAACAGGCAGTGGTAAAGCCGAGCGCCAAGATGCTCATTAGTGCTGGCCATTAAACAAGGACCGTATACATATATGCATAATATCACTTTCAGCAACACGGCAACTGCACAATTGCAGTGATCCACAGCACCAACAGCCAAAAGGAAATCCGGTCAGATGATAGGATGAGCTCCAAGGTGACTAAGGGAGATAGATCTGACTCAGAGACATGATAGTATCAAGTGTAGGGTCCCTTCCCTTACTATGGATCGACGTCGAGGTGGGCAATGGCCAATAGGTGGCTGCACTGCAGAGCATCTATTGCTGGTGGCAGGAGATTGATGTTCATGTGTACCCATAACACCAAAAGGTGACCAGAGATTGCAAATGATGACGCATAACGACGACATTTCGGCCCGTTCGCTTTGTTGAAAAAACAAGCCGAAACATTGTTCCGGCTGATTTGTCGTGAGAGAAAAACACTGTTCTAACTGAAAAACAAATTGAAAAGTACGGATTATAAGAGAAACGAACGGGACCGAAGAAAATGATAATGGTTGGGTTCTGCACGGGGACAAAATGCACAGGAACTAGGGCCGGACTGATGAACGGAAACCAACTATTCATGGACATTCATGTTTGGTCACCTTGTTCGAGGTAGGATAACGATTATATGGCTACCAATCAGCCAGTCTTCGGATACCAAAAATGCTATTTTCACTTGGGCTGCAAAAAAATTAAAACATCAATTGTTGATATACAGCCTTGGATTTAGCGTATGTGCACATGTGAGCTCGTGTTCCATGGCCTGTCCTATGAACAGTCAAAAACAGCAATCCTTGCTGGTAGGAACTTGAAACCGACCACAATGATTAAGTGATCCATATCAGTGGAACCAATCACCTGTGCAGGTGATGAATTACGCAAAATTACAACTACAAGGAAATAAAATCATCACCAGATGACATGAGGTAAATCGCTGACAAAAACTATTCCTCCGGAGCTGTATGTCAATCAATTGACAAAAAACATAGTTTGTGTGACAGTGAGAAATTTTGGGCAAATGATAGAGAAAATAGTCAAATATTCTCATGCAAAACAGGAACATCACTAACACAAAAGAGCGATATCAGAAGTCGATTATGATGGGCAGATTCATAGGTTAATACTCCCATTAGCAATGGTATAGGTAAATGCAAAATTTTATGTCAATTGCTTCAACTCTACAAAGAAATTACAGGAGAAAACAACCAATTTGATGGTTGCAAAACTGAGATATAAACATATGCTGATATGCTCACACCACCCCACTACCATTCCACTAAGGCAGCAAAAGCTGTTCAGATTATCTACCTCAAACTAAACAAGAAAGGAAAACAGTGGCTTCTATATCCAAACGTGCTCCCTGCGGTACTCTCTTACAATGACTGGTACACTAGTAGGTGGGAGCTGCGAGAGCAAAAAAAGTCATCAATTCAATGGACCAAATGGCAGATTTCAATTGAAATATTGCAAAATATGAAAGATATTTTATAACTGGCTCTGTGATAAGACATCCAAACCTAATTAATGAGTCAGAAAGGTTATGGCCTTATGAGGGAAAAAGCATCCAAAGACACAAGAAATAGGCAGCCTTTTACAAGGGAACAGAGAAAAGAGAAACAACCTGTGCTTGCTAAATAGACTGCTAATGCTTTTATAATGGGGGAACACCGACTAATGAAAGTAACTAGATACAAATCGTTCTCCACATCATATAGTCTTGTCATCATTCATGCAGTATGAAGCCATACATCACTGAGCACAATAGTCCTTCTATGGTCATGTTTGGATCCATTAGCTACTAATAGTTAGCTAGCTAATAGGTCATAGCTAAGATTAGCTAGTTACTCCCTCCATTTCAAATTATAAGTCACCCTATTTACTTGGAGAGCCAAAACATCTCAAGTTTGACCAAAATTATAGAGAGGATTACACAGATTTATGACATCAAATAGATATACTATAAAAATATAAATGAAAAATCTAATGATATTTATTTGGTATCATAAATATTATTATTTTATTATATAAATTCGGTCAACTTGAGATGCTTTAACTATCTAAGAAAGTTAGACTTATAATTTGGGATGGAGGGAGTAACTATTAACAGCTATTAGCTGGTTTGCCTCAACTAGTGAGATAGTTGTTAGTTGGTATTCAGCTTGGGCCCGTTCAAAGGGGCTAATTATTAGCGACTAACTATTAGCTCTATGGATCCAAACAGGTCTTATTATATCAATATTTTCAAAATGTAAGGGGAAAACACATTGCCTCAGCAAGTAAATGTACTGAAACTATAGAAGGGTTGCAACAAGCAGAATATGTGTGTTTGTATGCAGCAGATTAACTGAAACTCAAACATATGATTATATATTTAATAATGGCATGACTTTTAATGTGGGGTTCATGGTTCATCTATATGATGCACATACCGTACAGCACTAGATAATACTATCAACTAACAACTAATTATTAGCAAGTAAAAACAAACAGTTTGACAATATAACGGGAACGAGGAAGATCTGTTAGGGTATGTGCAATGCAAGTGCACTTAAAGAGATGCTTAAGGTGAGAGAATAAATAAACATCTATGAAACAGCCTTAGCTTACAATGATAGATTTGTTTAATAATGCCTAGATAGCTTAGAGCAAGGCTAAGCATTGAAACTGCAATATAGATCATCTATGCCTTAAACATTTTTCACACTAATTTTAAGCGCCTCGGCGCTTTAAGCCGGTGCAAGTGTCGGGGCTTGCCCGAGCGTCTCAGGCTGCATGCAAGCACCCAGACTTACATGTCCTGCCCTCCACCATGGCAAACAGATATGCAACTACAGGTAAGCGCCCAGCATTGTATGCGGCATTAGTGATTTGACTGATATTATGGGGTTGTGTTCCTCATTGCAAAAGCATAGACAAATTGGCAGCTCAAAGCTATAAAATCAAAGTGGAAATATCCCCTTTGTAGTAAACAACATGTTCAGTATATGGTAAAAGAATGTCGCACTTTACTGTTAGAAGCATTAAGCAATTAGAATAAATGTAATATGATTTGCTTGTAATTATAAGCACAAAGAGTCAAGTGAGAAGATGAAGCACGTCTTACCATTCCATAATCTGTTATGAGCATTGAAACATAATCGGAAGGGGTGATATCATACCTGCAGGTGCACGAAAATGATTTGATTAGATGCAAATTAACAAAGGAATCATGAACTATAACACCTGCAGGAAACAATGCACATACTTAAGATTCAGAAGGTGAAGATTTTCGTTCTCAGCCCAGTTTTTGAGATGGCTCAAACTTTCATCCCTAGGAACTCTTGAAATAGCATCTGGGTCACCTGAGTAGATATCATATCATGTCTTGTGTGGTTCCTTAACAAGAGACTAAACAAATAGCTTACAGTAAGAAGAGCAACAATAACATACCAAGTTCATTAAAGCATATAGAATCGAGTTGAACCCTCTCATGAAACTTGTATGCCTCACAGCACACTAGAACAGGAACTCCAAAAGCATGTGCGACCATAGCAACCGAAGCTGTCCCAACTCTGGAGTAGACAGTACCATTTGATAGTACTGAAGAGGCGCCCAAAAACACTCTTGTAACCTCCTGCATGATGTATGATACAGCATTTTTGTGTGTATATGTGCAACTAATCGGCGCAACAATCTTTGTCCCTCATGGTTTGGACGAGAATCTACCACCACAACACGAAACTTCTTTCCAAGTTCATGAACATGGTCAAAAATCATTTCAACAACAGAGGCTGACCCAAATGTCAATAGGACATCGTCATCTCTGATTTTTGTGACAGCATGACTAACAATGACCTTATCTGCAACTATTATCTTCTCATTTATAAAGCGATCAATGTCAGATTGAAGACTAACTTTAGCTTCTGACTCTGACAATGCAAGTTGTACCTTGGTAATCCTGTTCTTCAAAAACCTAATAGCGTTGCCCATGCTGATTGAAAGAGGCCTGCACTCAATGAGAAATGACACATAGCTACTGATTTTAGCAGTAAGATCCCTATTCAGAATTTTTTCAGCAGGCATGGAGTAATCATTTATTGCCTCTCTGAATGCAAGAAGCATTGCTATACAGCGAGCATTGCCACCCGATATGTCACCAGACAGATACTGAAGTCCAACCTGAAACGTAACACAGGGGACATAAGATACTTGGTGTTCACCATATGACAATAAACCGTTTACCAGATAAGTACCCTCTACTCAAAGACACATGAAAAGAAAAAAAAAATTATGTTTACACCTATCCATTTTATGTGAATTGTGCTGCCCACAGAATCAGTAATATAACATGAAACAAATCACGATTTTAGGTTGATCAGTATAACCATTATTTTAATATTTATTTCAAGAAAACTAAGCACCTTGGCTAACCCCCCCACCCTTCTCTCTAAAATAAGAATACTGGTAGGTTTCTTTTACAGTACATTGGCAACATGGTAGCTTATAATTACTTTGTACACAGAAGGATGCATTAGATCAGGTTGAAGAAATTTTGACTCAAGGTCAGGAAGTTGAGTGCCATGTGAATATTGAGGCAGATGTCTGAACAGTTCGACCCTGTTTCGAGCTTCTGATTGGCTAACACCTGAACGCTTCTTTGCTTTCACCACCCGATGTGCATCATCAAATTGCATACGGGGTTGAGGAATATCTTTTTTTCTATCTTTGTCAGGTGGGCGTTCACCAGTCTTCTTATCAGAAGCAACTGGAGGGTTAACATGGTTCACAACTTTCTTCAGAGATGTCTTTGCTGTCTTGGGTTGCTTTGATATTTTGGTGCTAGCATCAGAAGCCATGGCTGTTGGTTTTAAACCTGCAATTTTTCACAGAGACATAAAGTTTGTGTCTGCAGACAGGTCAGGTGAGTCACTGTGAATGATGCCAAATGCAAACAGAGACACTGCCCTTCCATCTAAAATGAAACTACTCATTCTTTTCTTTCAAGCAAAAGACTTAGTTTCACTTTAGATTTCCTTGATAAGATGGTCTGGGGGTTCAGTGTTCTTACTCACTCCCCTTTTAAAAATATACGTGGGGTTCTTATATTCACCGAGACAATGTCAAGAATGAAAGTAGATCAACTACCTGCCTCCTTGGCAGCACGCTGAGACTCCTGAATGGCACGTCTCTCTGCTTTAGAAAGCTTTGGTTTCTGTGCAACTGAAGTTGGAGCATGTTCTTTCTTTGTTTCAGTAAGATCTCGCTTGTTTGGTTCTGAAATAAATAACAGAAGAAAATTGTGCAATAAATAACCACAGAAAAGAGATTCTTCAAATGAATGCTGATAGACATAGTGTGCTGTTTCCATGCTTTAGAAAGCATGAAAATTGTTAACAAATACTACATGTTAAACCAAGGCGAGTGATCCTACAATGTGAGCCATTTTGCACAATCTGAATTGCACATGAACAGACACAATACGTATATCTAAAACATAACTAATGATTCACAGTATGGCCTTGATAGCTACAAGCAGTGATTTTGCTAATAGCCTAATACAGTCACCATGATTCATGAAAACAGAATCATTGCTGAATCATGCACGCAGAATTGAGTTTCACTACCTATACACAGGGCCGTCCCACAAATTTCATGGGCCCTTGGGCCAGTAAGACACTAAGGGTCCGGCAATGTAATATTTGAATAGGACGATTAAAGTATATAACTTGTAGCATATATTTAATTTTTCTTGAAAAGGTAACAGTACATCAAAGAAGATAAAAAAACGGCAAAATAACTATGATGGTTACCTCAAATAAAACTACGGTGCTTCAGTGCTTTTTAAAAAAACGTCTTTGGGCATTTCTTGATGTAAAATCTTCAAGAACACTTTCAAAATCAATTGTATCTAAAAAAAAGTTCTGAACTGCAATCAAATTGATTTGTTTATTTAAGAGGCCTGATACCTTTGCCGACTTGCCGTTGCCGTGAAGAGGGACGCCGCACCGCAGTGCCAGTGCCATGCCGCCACGCTGGAGGGACGTCCGTGCTCGCGCTCGCGCCTGGCCCTAGCACGCCGACACCGTCACGCAGTCCGCAAACACGGACTCACCATCGAGAACGAGAATACGAGCGGCCACCGCCAATTGGTACGCAGGCCTGTTGGTACGCACTGTTGCCTTGCCGGCGTATGGGCTGTTAGCATCTACTATACAGTATACACATGGGTACCCTCATGGGCCCCCAGCCTCATCATGGGCCCATGGGCATCCCCCCCCATAAGACGGGCCTGCCTATACAGCGAATGCATTTTTGACTTTAATGACCATTCTTAACATGATCCTGGTTTGCCTAATATACTTCTGGTCTGGCCAACAGCGAACAACGACTATGGGTCAGCATGAAGCAACAATCTCTCAGTTGGCTAATAAATTACTGGAGTGTTTGGTTTGCAGAATGGGATGATCCATCATCTTACAATTCCTAACTCTTTTGTTTGGTTTGGGAGTGGAATGGGTTGATGCATCACCACCTACCTGCTCGCACAGATATACCGTATACTCCTCCATCTACACGCACTACTATAGGATCAACTTGTTGTCCCGGGCGGTAACGGTCTTTAGTCCCGGTTACCGCGCTAGGACAACGATCCCGAGACTAAAGGTGGAACCTTCAGTCCTGGGTCATTGAGCTGGGACTACCAACCGGGACTAAAGGCCCTCCAGCCGAGCAAACATGGCCGCACCCTTTAGTCCCGGTTGGTAACCCCAACCGGGACTAAAGGTTCCTTTTTTTTGTTTAATTTGTTTTCAGTTCAGTTACAGATATTTGTTTAATATATAATATATTTTTATGTACGTATTCTACGCTGCTAATATAAATACACGCACGCATATAATTACATCTAATTCTCATCTCAAGCATTATTATATTCAAATAAAGTATGAAACTATATATATTATAGATATATATGTATATATACAACACTTTCATAATCTTGTTCTTGAAAATAACGATATCAATAAACATTTAATTTACATCATTTATTCCTTAGGATCAAAGTAGAACTCGCCGTTGGGATTTAGCACTTTTTCTAGAAGAAATCCTGCTATTGACTCTTGAACTGCTTTTAGATGGTCTTTTTGCATGACCCTTTGTTTCAACCATTCAGTCTTACATTTGAAATAAAAGAAAAAGTATTAATACATATATATATATATATTCATTTAAAAATAAATAAAAAATTGATATATACGTACTCTGAGGACATCTTTAGGAGTTCTTCTTATGTGCGCAGTGATAAATTCACAAACGTAGTATCCACATAAGTTATTACCTGGTTGCTGCCACAAACACCACTGTACAAGAAGAAGATTATTCTCATCATCTCACACGTAAATTGAAATACGATATAGTAATTAAACACGTAGGGAAGTATATATAGTACAACTTACTGGTATTTCAACTACATTAAGTGGTGCCTTGTAATCCTTGCGGTGTTGCCGAATAAACTCTTTCCAAACCCTGTGCGACCAATAATGTACGATCGTTAATAAATTATGACAAAGTCTATTCAATAATAGTTGTGCGCGAGAGATCGAAATTACCCCTGGATAATGTCTATCATATATTGGTATAGTACCCGCTCTTTTCTCTTCGAGTCCAAGATTACTAACCGACTTGAGTTTAACTCAATGACAATGAGTATCCAGTGAAACCTACATTGGTTTATACACACACGCACATGCATATAAGTTGTATTGATATTACATAAAATATGTAGACTACATTATTATTAACACTTACTCAAAGCTGTACGGGAAAAGTATTATTGTCTTGTCGTGCTGCTTCACGAAGAACCTCATGATATTCTTCTGTGCTTCAGATACCCACTGCTCCATGGGAATAATATCGGTTTTGAATACGATATAAGGATCAATGAAGCCAACACTAGTGTCTTGTATTCTTTGGAGCTCTGACATCTGGAATCTGTATATAAATATAAGTTACATGTGAGGATAATTATATACACATACGCATGGAAGTGAGTTTATTAAATAAAAGTAAGAATCACTTACAAACAAAAGGAGCTAATGATTGATTTGTCCAGAGCGTCCATGTGGCATAGTTGATGTAATTCTTCAAAACTAATATGTAAGATGTCATCGCCATGAAAGTAATGATGGTCTCTAAATCTGACAAAGATCCACTCCTCACCCCTGCCACACGCCTGCATGTACCATTTGTTGAGCAAGTACATTTGCGTACCCAATTCATTCAGAGTCGCAGGGTTGTACAGACTTTTGTCAAATTTATAAGTCTTCCAGGTATCAACTTCTAGGTTCTGGATTGGAGCTTTGCCCGTCACTTGATCCAAGGTTAAACCAGTTTGTTCAAAAAAAGCATTAAGGTCTTGAACCGACACTTCTCCAGAGTTGTCTGGTCGCTAGACTTCTATGTTGGAACCATATTCATTAGCAACAATACGATTTTGCATTGGTTGCTTCTGTTGTCCGAGCTGTGGGACATCCTTCCCTGATGCTCTTTTCCTTTTCTTATGTGCATCATGTGACTTCATGAGGGAGCGGTCATAGTCTGATAGTGGCGGAGGCTTACGAACTTCAAGCATCTTTTTCTTGTGAGCTTCGACCTTCTGCCTCAGCTGATCTCGTGGTATGTAAAAGTACGACTTCTCCTTAAGCTTCGCTTGTCTCTGCTTTTGGATATCTATAAAAAAATATTTCACTTTTTTGTCTTCTTCAGCTACTATTTGCTCATCAGTCTTTTTAGGAAGTATTTCTTGAGAAATAACTCTTTTTTTTGTCTTCTTTGCCGCCGGGACCTTAGACGTCTTTGTAGTGCGTCGCTGTGGAGGGGGTGGGAGCGGTGTTGGAGACCGGCGTGGAGGCGATGAGGCCGGTGTTGGAGTCAGGCGTGGAGGCGTTGGAGATCGTTGTGGAGGCGGTGGGACCGGTGTAGGAGTTGGAGATCGTTGTGGAGGCGATGGGCCGGTGTAGGAGTTGGAGATCGCCGTGGGGATGAAGTCATCTCGCCCCCCGCGACGCTGTGATGAGATGGGGAATGAATGATTGGGTTAGGCTAGGGGGAGACCCTGCTATAAAAACAAGTTGTGGGTCAATTATTTTTGAAGCCAATATAAAATTAATGGAAAATAATATTTCATTCACTTTCATTCGTACCTAGGGTGAGGTAGAGGAAGCGGTGGCACCCCAGGAATGATGATGAAGCGTTTGCGCCATTGAATAAATGTCTTCTCTTCTTCTCCTAGTGTCTTCTCCCCATCACCGCCTTCAATGTCAAGAGGAACATTGTTGTAACCTTTGAGCACTCTATCGACCGAGACGCTAGCATATCCAGGTTGAATAACTGACCCATAGATTCTTGGTGTCTTCGTTTGGTCTATTGGAGATACAACCCCGACAGCCACCATGATTGATGCATTATTACCATCTGGAATGTGCAGCTCACATGTTGTTAGAGGCTCGGTAATGTCATCAACAGGGAAACGCAACCCAGCGTCACCTTGAATAACGGGCAGCTCCGTGGAAGCACAACTGCTTTTCATCTGACCAACGGGGCTAATGGTGACTCCCGGCGTTGATTGCGATTGCATTTGACTCATTGCTAGCTACACTTGCCTCTTGATCTCCTCCTGCATTCTTGCCTCAAGAGATTTTTCTCGTTCACGTGATTCAAGCAATGCTTGTCGTGACTCATTAACAAATTGCTCCAATACACGGATTCGGTCTGCCTCCTCATCCTTCTTTCTCTGGCGGCTTCTGTAGGTATCCTTGTCTGCTGGGAATGCTTATAGCCACGGAACCACCCCATAGCC